GGGGCGGTAGATCTCGAGACTGAATCCGGTAAAATCGGATCTTTTTTTTACATGAGGAAATTATTGTTAGTACTTTCCTATTTTGTGAAAATGGCTCAAACCATCACTCAATTTGAATTTTCAGTTACTCAAATTATAAAAGGCTTTTTCACTGATTTCTTTCAAATCCGAAACCATATTTTTCAAGTGCACTCTTTTTACAAGTTTTATTTCAAAGGATTGTGCATGTACCGGAAAGTTCAAATCTATATTGAAGAATATATTATTTTTCAGTCGCTTCCAGGTTGCCATTTTAAGTCAAACGTCGCAATTTAAGTGATTCTCATAATAAATTTTTTGCCATAGGAAGAAAACTGAACGGCTGCCGTCCTAATTGAAAGAACGAGAGTAAAACAAGAAAAACAAACCCTCTACTTGGTGTGTGACTCGTTATCTCGCGAACAATATATTATTAAGTATTTCTATATACACTTTAGCAAGTCTTGTCGGGGTAAACAGCATAAATATATCATCATGCAATATTATCGGGGTTAGGTAGATGTGCATACTCAAGTGTGGACTGTAAGGTTTTTTGATAAATAAGTTGGACGGGTATCGAGGCTTTAAATGATATGATATTTTGTCGTGCGCGAATATCTTTACGACTAAATTAGATCGGATGCAGAGGAAAGAAAGGCTTCAGCTGACAAACAATTTTTGTTGCGCCGATTAGTCGGTGAAAATGAATGAGCATATTTGCTTTATCTGTTTGGAAGAAATGTTTGTAATCGTGGTTTTATTGAGTGGTCTTGTAAACTTAATGTCGCTATCAATTACGGGTCGCGACGTTCCGACTACAACTCGTCAGGTGGTGTACAAACCCAAGCCGTTTGTACAATCGAATGCGACTCTGCACCGTGTAACGAAAAAAGAGGCTTGCTGAATTTCTGTTGATTTGCCGGATTCTCTTCGATGGAAAAAATTTAGTCTGGGAAGAAAAGAAAAGGTTTTCAGTGCAAAATAAAACGCTACCTAAATTTATCATCCTCTATCACTTCGTATTTGTTATTATGGGAGTCGCTCAAACTAGATCAGGAATCATACAGAGAGTAGCTTATCCGGCTATGTATAACTTTACAGATGGTAAAATGTTTTAAATATTATTTACTTTTATTGCTTGTGATCTGATGTATGAGAGAAAATCGAAAAAAAAAATCAATTCGAAGGGGAACTTGTTTTGGCAAAAACAACTCTCCATTCCGCGAGGGATATATCCTGAAAAATTTTCACGCCACACCCTACATTTTGAGACAGTCAGAAATTACATAATTTCTTTCGCGTTGTTTCTCTGCTCTTGGAGAAGATCATCTCGGAAGCATTTTTGGAAGGTTTGCTATCCATAAAGGAACTTGAAACCAACAACACGACGGAAAGCAACAAAGGTTTCGAAAATAGAACCACGACGACTCGTTCGGTCACGAACCAATTTGATTGATGTATTGTTAATAAACATATTCTGTTTAGCTCATCGCTACATCTGCTCTTTTGTTCTTTAGAGGTTATTTTAAAAAGTTTTCCATTCTAAGCTTTAATTAACAAACGAATTAGTAACTGAACAAAATGTAGCGATGCTTGTCAAAGCTTAAGTTTTGACTGTTTGAATTGGGTTCCTTCTTTTGAAACAGGCCTCCAAGCAGCATTTTCTTATTTCTCTATGGCCTTTTTCGTACGCAATTTGTGAGCAGACAATTGTTTGAAAATTTGTATCTTTCGGAAAGTTTCCGTAGTCTGATAAAAATTATCAATTAAGGAAATAGTGGTATCCATCGTCTGATAACGCACAATATAATTGACTTCTCTGTAGGTGTGGCCAGTGATCTCAATGCGAGACTCGATATATTTTTTCATGCGAACTTTAGTTTTCTCAAATGCCTTTTTTATTCTAGAGCGCCGAGTTATGATTGAAACAGGTACTAAGCCTTATTTTAAATAGTATATATCTATGAAGTTTTAATGACGCACGCTGGCATTGATAAAACATACTGAGAAAGACTGAGAAAGTTCTAATACATACGGATTGACTTTAGCGGTTGACAGCTCACGAGTTTTATGTTAAACACAGCACATCGAGTCGTTGGACTGGACAGCATCGATAAATGAAAAAGCTAAAAAAAAAAATGTCGGGAATTGGCGGTGATCTTATCATAGTAAGCACCTTTAAGTGTGCACCTGCTAGAAAATTTGAAATATAACGCCGTCGAACGATGATCAAGGAACTGTCTGACTGAGCGCTGTTGGTGGTATAATCTGTGACCTTTTTCCACCGAGAATGTCTAAAGCAGCCCTACTTCTTTTGTTGGCCTTCATCGTTTTGAAAGTGCAGTGTGCTCCCAACATCAGGCGCGAATGTATGTAGTGCAATTTTCCTATCAGCGTTGAGCACCTTACTTCAAAGTTGTTAAATTTACAATATTATTTATTCTTGACTCATTTTAAAAATAACATTAAGCGTTTTTTATCTAATTGCCGGATAGGAACAAGTTCAATCCTCCTTTTGGAAGAGCAAATATATATCTAGTGCGAGCCAAAATGATACGTATTGGTTTCAGAAAAGAATTTTCTCGTCTTGGTAAATAAATTTAAATCTTCAACAGTATGCATCTATTTAAGCACATTGTTCTCAAATTCAACTTTGAAATGGTTGAATGACTTCAATTGAAAAAAAATACGCCATTGATTCTTTGAAACAGTTCATTGGCAGCAAAGGGTATATAAATCAACTGAAATTGTTTCAGGCTGGGTACTTAGTGTTCCTCAATCTCTATAAAAATTTACATTTTTGATGAAGCTATCTTTTAATGGCACGAATTTTCCTGCTATCACGTTACCCTAACTTGACAAAAGTCAGGTGCGCAACCTTGGAGATATTGTGTGTAATGCATTATTCTGTTTTCAGAAAGATTAATATTTAGCGCAATTACCTCCCATTTATTTTGTATAAGAGCAATCTTCATGTGGACTAACACGTTAATCTTTGTCATTCTCATGATTACGTCTACAAGATGACAAATTTAAACTTAGTGAGGAAGGCGAGGACGAAAAAGCTCGCAGTTTACCAGGTACACACTTATTTTAATAATACTAACGCTAGTGCTGATTATGACTGATGTGGTGTTGGTCTGTTTTTTGGAGGGAATTAACCCGCTCTGCAAATGAAACAAAATAAACACAAAACAAAACGAAAAGAAAAGAGCTTTTCTCATCCGTTGGAAGGAATGTCGGTCAAAACCGATTTAATGATCAAATGGTGGGATGAAATCGCGTAATTGACGGCTAACATAAGAATATTACGCAAGAATTCTCTCAATGTTAAGCTGGGCTGTTTTCTAAAAACCCATACTTTCGACTTTCACCATGTCAAAATACTTTATGATTTCAGTAGGACTTAAATCATGTCGAGGAAACTGATAGACTTTGTTTTTTCTCTCTCGCTAGTTGAATCAGAGCCTGTAGCTGTGCGTCGCAGTTCAGATTGTTATGATTTTAAGCCCATCCAGTGCCAATTGTACGACATATGTGCTTCTCCCACTGCCAGGGACAGCTGTCCAAGAACCTGCCAAATGTGCGAATACGTCGCCTAGAGACCGATGAAGTTTTACAATCCTTGAACGAGATTGTTAACGCATGTAATTCATCAATTCCTGTCATTATAAAAACAAAAATAAAAAAGAAACTTACCGTCCAACGATTTTAAATTTGTGCAACAAACGAGAAAACATCGAAAATAAGTATCTAAAAAATCTGGCTCTGTGGCTAGCGATAAGATGGCAAAAATACAAACCAACCTCTTCTCATTTTCCACACAATCAATGTGGGCTCAGAGGGCAGAAGATGACTCACCCCCTCAACCACTGATTATTTTAAAAGCGGGGTTTCCTGTCCCCAGATATGATACAAATATATGTTGTTTACCTTGCGGTGGGTTTGTAATGGAGAAACTTGTGCAAATCTGACTTAAGCTACTTAAAAAAGAGTCAATTTAAATTTCTCCCTGCTTCGTCGTTTCCATTTGGAGATTTTGATAGGTTAACACGCGTCAATCAATCGTTATAACATAACCAAAGTAAAGCGCGCGCTCTGATTGGTCAATTTAGCGTCCCCCATTTACCCATGACGTGAGCAAATGCAAAGACTATTTTTCCGCGCGCACTTGTTTTTTCTGGTCACGTAAGATTTGTTAAATAAAAGGGAACTCTTTAGCTACAATGTATCAATGTTATGTTATAAAACAAATGGTAAACACCACAGCGTACACTATTGAGTTATGGATGCACTTGGGAGGTTTGCTAAGCACTCAAGAAGCTAGAGTCGCTCTCGGCTATCGCCTCGAGCGACTCTTACGCTTCTTTCGTGCTTAGCAACCTCCCGCGTGCATCCATAACTCTATAGTGTACGCTGTGGTGTTTACCATTTGTTTTATAACATAACATTGATACATTGTAGCTAAAGAGTTCCCTTTTATTTAACAAATCTTACGTGACCAGAAAAAACAAGTGCGCGCGGAAAAATAGTCTTTGCATTTGCTCACGTCATGGGTAAATGGGGGACGCTAAATTGACCAATCAGAGCGCGCGCTTTACTTTGGTTATGTTATAACGATTGATTGACGCGTGTTAACCTATCAAAATCTCCAAATGGAAACGACGAAGCAGGGAGAAATTTAAATTGACTCTTTTTTAAGTAGCTTAAGTCAGATTTGCACAAGTTTCTCCATTACAAACCCACCGCAAGGTAAACAACATATATTTGTATCATATCTGGGGACAGGAAACCCCGCTTTTAAAATAATCAGTGGTTGAGGGGGTGAGTCATCTTCTGCCCTCTGAGCCCACATTGATTGTGTGGAAAATGAGAAGAGGTTGGTTTGTATTTTTGCCATCTTATCGCTAGCCACAGAGCCAGATTTTTTAGATACTTATTTTCGATGTTTTCTCGTTTGTTGCACAAATTTAAAATCGTTGGACGGTAAGTTTCTTTTTTATTTTTGTTTTTATAATGACAGGAATTGATGAATTACATGCGTTAACAATCTCGTTCAAGGATTGTAAAACTTCATCGGTCTCTAGGCGACGTATTCGCACATTTGGCAGGTTCTTGGACAGCTGTCCCTGGCAGTGGGAGAAGCACATATGTCGTACAATTGGCACTGGATGGGCTTAAAATCATAACAATCTGAACTGCGACGCACAGCTACAGGCTCTGATTCAACTAGCGAGAGAGAAAAAACAAAGTCTATCAGTTTCCTCGACATGATTTAAGTCCTACTGAAATCATAAAGTATTTTGACATGGTGAAAGTCGAAAGTATGGGTTTTTAGAAAACAGCCCAGCTTAACATTGAGAGAATTCTTGCGTAATATTCTTATGTTAGCCGTCAATTACGCGATTTCATCCCACCATTTGATCATTAAATCGGTTTTGACCGACATTCCTTCCAACGGATGAGAAAAGCTCTTTTCTTTTCGTTTTGTTTTGTGTTTATTTTGTTTCATTTGCAGAGCGGGTTAATTCCCTCCAAAAAACAGACCAACACCACATCAGTCATAATCAGCACTAGCGTTAGTATTATTAAAATAAGTGTGTACCTGGTAAACTGCGAGCTTTTTCGTCCTCGCCTTCCTCACTAAGTTTAAATTTGTCATCTTGTAGACGTAATCATGAGAATGACAAAGATTAACGTGTTAGTCCACATGAAGATTGCTCTTATACAAAATAAATGGGAGGTAATTGCGCTAAATATTAATCTTTCTGAAAACAGAATAATGCATTACACACAATATCTCCAAGGTTGCGCACCTGACTTTTGTCAAGTTAGGGTAACGTGATAGCAGGAAAATTCGTGCCATTAAAAGATAGCTTCATCAAAAATGTAAATTTTTATAGAGATTGAGGAACACTAAGTANGGGGAGAGGGAAGAGGGGAGAAGGAAGAGGGGAGAGGGAAGAACCGTTTTCTACTCGCAAGTCACGATATACGACAAAACTGCCTTTTTTCCCTAAAATCTCTCACGATGTACTACTAGGTCAATAGTAAGTGGATCTTTACTCACCTTGGCTTCCAACTCGACTTTTTATGTTCCTGCAGAAGACAAAGACCAAATCAAGATGAACAAAATCAACGACAAATGAAAACCCCATTACAACACATCAAAATCCAAAGGGACTGGCAAACACAGGTTCTCCAAGACGTCGTGATTGTTTGAAAAAAAGGAGCTGTTATACCAAGAAACGTTACCATTTACTTTACTTATGATTGCTGCGCTGAAAACAATCGTTTTATCGATATCTGTGTATCAAGATTTTTTTTTCGGATAACCTTCTAAAATTGAGCTGAGAAAAAGTCTTTCGTTACAAGCCACGTATTAAATTTTGTGCAATCTCATTAAATATCATCCAGCGGACTTACACTAGACAATACATCCCGTAGAACTTACTACCTGCCTGGTGGGAGTCGTGATAGTCGAAAATGTGAGGGTCTTCTTTTAATTCGTTTAATATAGATGCAATTGTGAGAAACTTGTCGGATTTTACCGCCTCTTCTCTTCTCTCCAAAAAGGTTCAAGTGGGTCGTGAATGGAAGTTATTTAAGAGAAGATCTAAATAGGATTTAATAGCTCTCGCACTTATCATATTTAACGACAAGTCCATAACTTGTTACCTCATTCTCTTTAGCCTTGGGTGAAGGTTTCGGTTTGGGTGCAGGTTTAGGAGGAGGTGTTTTGCTTGAAGTTGCTGGTGGCGTTTTAGTCGCTGATGTCTTCTTTACGGTTTTCTCAGGCGTACCTTCAACTTTCGGCGGCCTGACAGAGAACATGAAGTGAGCTTCGAAATACGGTTTCTCGTTTCAAGTACACATAAACTTTACTAGGCATGCACATAGTGACCGAGTGATGTTAACAAAGATGACTTGATCTACCGCACACAACAGCACCTTATCTTTCCCATATTTGAGGCAGTGCACAAAGTACGTGAAGCCTGTTGAATAAACTATTTTTCCGACAGGAAAACATATCGTATTTTTTGTTTGAGGATTAACATGTGCTATTACAACTAACAAGTTTAGATCGTTAAAATCTTAATATATTTAGTGGGTCCTTACTTTCGGAGCTTGCCCACGTGTCCAGAGCATGATCTAACTGTGAGCATTGTTACTGCTACTGCCCCTAGGTGGTAGCCTAGTCCATCACAGGGTAACCCCCTATCCCACACCCTCCGAGCCTCCCTGGCCGTTTTCAGGTACTCATTTATACTGCCAGGTGAAGAGAAGCCACAATGTAAAACGAAGGCAAAAAAAAAAAAAACACACGAAGACACTCACTCTTGCACTGTGTTGGTCCAGAATGCCTCGATACCTTCATTTTCTTTACTCTCGTCCTGAGCGACAGCTGGCCTGTTGGAGGGTCGGGTGGGGAGGCGCCTTTTTTGTGGGGGCCGAGCGCGATCCTTGCCTAAGTGCTTCAGCCCTGAGGTCTTCATCTCCAAATCGTTGAAATCTGGATGATGCACCAAAAATATGGTATAAAAAAAGGAAGAAAGTAACCGTTCTACCTCGAAAACTGGGCTTGCAATAAGACTCAACATGAAACTTATGAGTTGATCATAAATATGTTTCGGTAAAATTCGATAACAAACTTCTGTGAAAACTTTGCTTGGTTGGTTTGGCATTCAGTAATAAATTGGAACTTGCTTGGGTTCTACTCCTTATAGAGAAACCAGGTTTTCTGTTTGTCCTATATTGGCAACAAACGTGGAACATATTTCTATATTTCCTTTTTATTTCTAACTAAACGCATATTTGCGTTCACTCAAACTTTCCGTTGGCAAGAAACTTTGTTTTTTTGGAACTCCTTGGTTCACGATCGATATGCACGATGAGAATCACGATATGCACGATGAGAATCACGATCGATATGCACGATGAGAATCGCGTTTATGCTTCTCTCGATTAACATTAGATAGCTCAGTTGATAAATATATCTTTGGTTTCTCGATGAAAGGTTCACTCATAAATGTTCGCTCCAAAGAGATCTCTCATAAGGTTTGCGGATCGACACGTTCCGAAAACGATCGATATCTTTAAGTGGGTCTACCGCGAACGCTGTGTACATATTTTGTATGCGTTTGGAGCGTATTATACACAGTCTCCGTGCTGATGTGCTTATCAGTCAAAACGTCGTGCATGCGTGTGAAGGACTTGACTACGATTTGCGACTGAAGAAAACAAAAACCAATTTCAACTAGAGCATTTCGTTTGGAAAGTCCGAATAACAAATTAACCCTTGTGGAAAACAAACAGCTAACGCACCAGCTTTGACTGGGACGACCCCTTGAGGCAGCGACTTTCCTTCAACTTCATCCTTGGCTACTTGACGTTTTTCTTCTTCTTCCCCTGTTTTCACCTTATCCTCGACTTCCTTGACGACCTTCTCGTCTTCCTCGACCAGCCTGTTGTTGGATGCTGGCCGTCTGTTCACTGTGGGTCTTCTCTTGTGGCTCCTTCCACCCCCCTCTGTTCCAGCCCCTGCAGGCACAGTAAGTTGGGCCGCGCTCAAGCGATTACGAGCTTTGCGAGCCGCCTTCAAGAAAAAAAAAAGGGAAAAAAATCAATAATGATGTAATCGTGGCGAGGAGCGAAGTTAATTCTTAACTCCGAGAAGTACACAGCGCCGCAAGCGAACACTAGTGGTGATAATCCATGAGCCACATAAGCAACTGCAGCAATCAACAAGTTACAAAAAGCAATTCAGCAGCAACCTAGTTTTGCCTTGCTTCACTCTGTCACTGGTCTGCAAAATTCCCGCTGCCTTCTTAACGAATCAGAGCAAAACTTAAACAAGTTCCACCTTAGTCGCTTTCCCGCGCTTCTCTGTAATTTTCCTTTACATTTACTATTGTGCTTTATGACATTCGACCGAAATCCGCTTCATATCATTTCCAGATTCAACTGTCTTACCGCTGCCACATCGTCTTCTTCAACGCTCTTCTCAGTCTCCGTGTCCTTATCTTCCATTTTGCTTCGGTGTTCTCTGAGAAGGAGGTCCTGTGATGAAATATTTGTTATCCACTAGTTGCTACCGCGAAATGTCTTGTTAAGGTACTAATGATTTTGTGGTACATGATTAAAACAGAAACGGCACTTTGGATGCGTTATTGACCACGCAAGAGGTCAAATATTGATTGATTGAATTGCTCCTGATTGAATATTGATTGATTGAAATTGGATGATTATCATGTTAGCAAATTTGAATTATTTTTTTGCGTTGTGTCAACCATAGTCGAGGTCCCTGAGTACTCAAATGAACAACGAGGGCTAAAGTGTATCTCCGGTCATCTGAACAGAACGGGCTTGGTAAACAAATAATTTATTACAACGCCAAGACAACATGATAAAGAAATGAAAAATAATTTTAAGATACTAATTCTAGTTTTACATATTTCACTTGTTTACAAAAGTGTTTAACTGAGTTTTGCGACTCAATCGCCATGAAAACTAAAGGAAAATCTTTTTTTTCCTTCACGTTAAAAAGTTTCCCAGTACAGGACGTAGAGAAGCGGGTAGATGTGGGCAAAACAATCCCCATCAAGCACTAACAATACTACCTTGGGACTTATCCAGATACAAATATTCAGTTATTCAACCAGAGTCCTCTTTATTAATACTTGTTCATGTCGGTGTGAAATTTAGTGACCGTCACCAACAAGTGTACCAGACAGTTCACCAAAACAAAAGGATAGCAAATCCAAAAAAATAATAAAGAGATTCATCGTCATTTCATTGCGATTTTAACCACATCCGACATAACCATACCATGTTTCCGTTACTATAATTGTACCCTGTTCAGGAATCTCGCTAACGCGTAAATTTCAGTATGTTTGTCACCCTTGCCGGCTGCCTTTGTTTGCGACAAAACACTTGGCATTCTTGGCAAACTTCGAACAACGGATTTTCACAAATATCCTCTCGTAGATTTTCTCAATTAGATGCGTTGACCACGCCATAACGTTACAACTCTACGCGAATTCCACTAGGGTCAAGTTACTGTGCAAGTAACCGTAACGATTATCATTAAAATAATACTCAAATACAATCGTAAAAATATTCTTTGGAGCAAGGTAAAATAAAAGTTGCTGCAATTCCAATGTCACCACTAAAATTGAGTTACCTTTGTTTTTCAAAATTTTACAACATGAACACACGCATATGCAGGATTAATGTCTACTGTGGACATAAACAAAGTGCCAAACGAGAACAAGACCGAAAATGGGCTCTGTCCTGGTGTACCGGTTCACAAGGGAATTACCATTGTTCTTTCTTTGTTTAAGAGTCATTGGTTAGCGGTTGTGTATTGTTCGGTCTTTTGTAACGGCTCTTGTGAACCGGTACACGAGGACAGAACACGAAAATGTAACAATGAAAAGTTTCGATCTTTGAGAGAACATGGTTTCGTCTCCGACTCAGTGTCTACCTACCACTTCTTCTTTACCTTCAATTGCCCACTAAATAAATACAGTTCTAGTTCTTATTCTCCTCTTTACTCACCAGTTTATTGACACTATTTTCCAGCTGATGTATCACAATCTCCATGATCGTGTCCGCCATGACAGATGCCACTGTAAGCTTGTCTTCGCTGCAAATGAAAACAACAGGACCGAAGTGGGGTGGGGTGAGGTTATTTGGTCACATTTCAAGTTTTCACTAAATACCGAAAGAGTCACGGTGCGGTACTGGTAACGGAAATGTTTCAAGAAATCTTAGGTTTATTCTAAACGGTTAGGGATAACTACCGAGCGAATATTTCACTTTCAGTTAAAGCACTGAAAAGATAAAGGAAGTTTCAAGTCAGAGAATCATAATTCTTTTAGGTAAGCCAGATTTGCTTTCACACATCAGTTTTATATTGCTGGCAATGTATCCCTGGCTCACAAAATTAGCCAGCGGTTTGGCCGCACGGTTGAGACTGTATGTTCAAACAGTTTTCCCTAATAACCATTGTGAATGTTTATCAAAATTGGGGATCCAGTTCAAGAATTGACAAGTCTGGCTTGTTTGTTGTGATTAATAACGGAAGTACCTAAAAGGCTGAACCAGTTAGGCTGTTTTATTTCGCGTTTTAATTCCCCATATAAAATTGTTCTATTTCTTTTACCAACACAACAAACATGATTTACAAACTGTCCGCACTAGTTTAAGGGACATACGTACATAACTTTACATAAGTAAGCCACTTTTGAGTGAAATTTTATCCATATAAACTCCCCTGACTAAATAATAAAATCGAAAGGTTGTTGAGTGTCACTTACCTTAATCTATTGGCAATACCAGCTGCAGCTCGAGTAAGAATCACTTCTTCCACAAAAGTTTCATTCAGACTTGACTTGCCTTGTACAACAGCCAGTAGACGGCTTTGAACATCCTAGAAGCAACACGATTTTGAACATTTAAAACACCCCTTGCGTTCTCATGTCCACATAAAACTAGGTAGCTAACAGACCACTTCTCCCAAGTGGATTTGTACAAAGAAAAGCTTGTGTGCTAAAGTGTAGAGGGCCTCCTCTGAAGGCAACTGCATACTTCTGAAGGTAAATCTGTCAGCCCAAGACTATTATAACACAACGGCTGTAAGAGTACGAGTGTTATGGTCAACCAGCAGTGAAATATAGAAGATGCATTTCTATACCGCTCGGGAACCACACAAACATTTTTCTGCAATAGATACAACTTACGTCTGAGGAGGTGATATACGGACAAACTTCTTTGGCACAATCAATCATCTTATCCATATTATTCTGAAATCACGCAAACACACAAACCTCTACGTTACGAGACAAATAACCCTAGCATCATTTTTAGATTAAAAATTATAATTCAGTCGAAACAGGACGCTTAATGTTGGTCCTACATAACGCAGTATGCCGCATATACGCCACAAGGACTTGCTCGTAACCAGGCTATTCCCTCAGCACTCAGCGATGAACCATCCAACTTACGGAGACTGGGGCTCAATTCTTCTATGGGACTTACATTTTTTTCTTTTTTCAATTTTTGTCTATCAATTCAACGGAAAATTGATAAACCAAAATAATCTGAATCAATAGATATTTCTTAATCCTTTGAGGGTTACCACACACTAAACTTTACTTCTTAATTTACAAAAGGCCTCAATCCAAGTCTCCACACAGCGAACATCGACTATCAAAATTTTGAATCCCGCATACATATTTGTTTTTAATCAAAAGTATGCGCTGTACACTTCCCTGCACTTTACTTTGACTGGTCAAATTGCGGGACGTTTTCTTTATCTACCTTCATCTTCTCTTCAGCTGCCTTGTAAAACTCCCCTGCCAGCTCAGCAAATCTGGCTTCAACATCACTGTCACTTGTGCACAAATGGAACTTCAGTAGCAGCTGTTAAAACCAGAGGATCATTTAACATCCAGTTGACAATAAAACAGTTTTCAACTGAGTGTCGAGAGTAATCCGGAAAAGCTTTGTTTTTCTTTTATTTCACAATCTGATTGGTCCAGAAAACTCCCATCATCCTCTCAAGCAATCACATTCAAAACTAAGCCAATCGTGAATTGGTCACTCTAGATTTCCCGAACTTCCACAAGTTTGCTTTTCTCACGTTGTGTTCTCATTGGCCCTTAGTGCTCGGTTTAACGACACTATATCGAAATGCGCTCTTTTGTGAATCCTTTTATGTTCTTTCAAGTCTTGATCTCTCTTTACCTTACATGGGAAACTTGCCACCGACAATTATCGTGGAAAACTTGTTGAAGTACATTTCCCCTTAAACATTTGAAATGTCACCTTCGTTAAATATTGTATTGTATCGTATTGTTTCCTAAACTGCCGTGTCATGCAAAAAAATTGCCACTCTTCCAAGTTCCAAAGTTTACTACTGTACCAAGAGAAAATTTAGTTGCAATTTCTCCATGTACCAGATGAAAACTTATCAAAGAAAAGACGCTTTAAATTACATGCCCAGTAACAGTGAACACACCTGTTTAAGTTTGTCTGCATCCTGTATAAAATTGTTTGCAGTTTTAATTTCGTTCTTCACATCCGGATCTTTGGAGGTTCGGAGCGCGCTCACGAGGTCCTGTAACTGTACTACAAGCCGGTCTACCATCTGAAGGAGTCGAGGAACGATCAGTAATATGGAGCTAACAAACACATCAACCGACCGACAACTGGTACTAGTTTTCTCATAAAAGAAACCCAACTGCACAGAGTAACATATTGTGGTTTAACGTACCTGTTGCTGTGTGGAAGTGAGCAGCAAGCCTTGTTGTAATCTGTAGGCCTGTTCTGTTACTACTTTGTGCGGAGACTGATTCCTCAGCAACAACTTTTCGATCTACAACGAAATACATCAAGACATCCTTACATTCATTACGTTAACAAAAAGGAAAAAGATCCACGAGATCCCCTGCTTCCTTTTCTTTTCATACACGAACTAAATTCAATTTCATTGCGCTTGAATGCCAATTCGAAAGGGTTGCAACATAAACTAATGGAATGCATAATTACAGCTATTTCAAATGGAATGTCGGAAGTAGTCACGAACTGTGCTACATTCGCTTTGCTCCGCGCTATCGTTGATCAACTGACAATTCGCATCTCTCTGTGGACTAATCAGATGAAAACTTAAACCAATCACCACTTGGACTCTTGCGTTTTCCCGCGCTTACAGCCATTTGCACGTGCTCACTTTGAGTTCTCATTGGCTGATCGTGACATTGTTCTTCGCTGCGATTGGCTGTATGGGATTACTTGGTTGGTTTTTCGACCTTGAACTGAAAAGCGCTCTACGGAAAGTTTATTGATTAATATTCACCTTTCTCAAATGCTGCTCCGTCTGTGGTTTGAGCGACTGTGTAGCATCGTGAAGAGGCATGGGCATGGAAAGAAGTGTGTGGTTGCTACAACATAAAAACACAGACATCAACAGCATATCTTTGATCCTGTTTAACCATTACGCCACACAAATATATCACTTAATACTTAAACCAATCACCACTTGGACTCTTGCGTTTTCCTGCGCTTACAGCCATTTGCACGTGCTCACTTTGAGTTCTTCTTGGCTGATCGTGACATTGTTCTTCGCTGCGATTGGCTGTATGGGATTACTTGGTTGGTTTATCAAGTGGGAAGTTATGCTCACCTTTCCAAGGCTGCTGCAATGTCAGCAACACCTCTATGAGTTGTCCCATTCTTGTCCCAGTCGAGTGTTCTGAAATGTTCCAAGGTATTATAAGCGTATTCTCTTGTAAAAGTAGACAAGCACCCCCGAGGATGTCATAAGACGAAAGAACTAGCGTGCTTTGGTTCACGACGGAGAGGGATGTATTTACGGAGACCAATTGAATAACTTGTAGCCAAACCATCATTCAACTAATTCCGATTCCACCAGGAAAGGAAACCTTGGCGTATGGGTTTATTTTTCTTGATAAAGCTCTAAAAAACTTTTCGCAAATATTTTATGTCTGGCGCGACGATTTTCAGCTAAGCTAAGGGGAAGTGGGATGATGAAGTCATTCCTTACCTCAGTTTGCTGTTGATTTGAAGAGCTTTAGCCAGAATGCGTGCTCCCTCGTCTCCGATTTGGTTTCCACTGAAAAACAAGCACATTCCATGCTGATGAATTTCAACATGCAATTATCTGTGTTTGTGAATGCTATTAGTTACCTTGTTGAGAAGAACAAGATCTTTTGATCAGTGATCGATATCGAGAAACCCTTCGGTCAACAACCTCCAACGGGTGTTTGAGATGGACAACCATGCGTACGTGACCTACCAGTGCTGGCAAATTTTGAAAAGCTGTCGCTACTTGTTACTCAGAGCAGACCTTCATTTCCTAAAACTTTTTCGTGGTATTGAGAAAGCAGAAAATATAAAATCATGCTTGGTTAACCAAGCTGCTGGTTTACCTGATGTCAAGTTCTTTTAATGTTTCATTTGTTCCAAGAGCATCTAGTAACGGAATGATGTCATGTTTAAGTTTGGAATCGGCTAACGAGATTGATTCGAGATGCTGAAAAAGGAAAACAAGGAAAAGCGTCATGAGAATTTCACTGATTTCTACAATCAGATATCAAATTAATAAACAATCAACGTAACTTTGTTTGTTTGGTTCTCATGACTTACTGAATTTTCCTCAGATATCAGTTGCACCAGTGCCTCCATAACTGCAGTTGAGCTCCTGAAAGACATAAGAAACAGTACTTAATGTAAAATAGAGATCACACAAACAACACCTAAAAGTTCAAGTAAAGAGGACTATGGAAAACTCTGAACAATATCGTTACTGTAATTAGCACCCAGATCTTGCAGTTTGACGGCGAGAAAAAAAATTTGTTAAATTTTACGGTTAGAAAGAAAAAAACAAAAAAAAACCATTCGTCACTAACCCCCCAAAATGTTTTGGACAAAATAAATCTCCTTTATTACTGATTACACAAGTCGAAAAATTAACGTCGCGTCTATTTTGGTTATTTTTTAAGAATTTTGATTTCAACTTTCACATCATCCCCATCCATAAGCATTCTTGTATACTTTTGCATACTCTTCAGAATTATATTTTTCTATCTCATCAAACGAAGATTTTGTGGTTTCTGACACATTACTGAAGGGCAATTTTGTTACTGGTAGAAAACTATTCCAGTAACCTATTGTATCTCCTACAATGAACGTGTATAACTTACCTTTGTTTCATATTCTGTCCCAAGTTTAGATATCTCAGTGTCTTGTTTGATGACAGCTTCTCGAGAATCGGAATTAAGTCCATGTCAAATCCTGAAATTAGAGGAGACAATTCCAAAATTTTTTTCAGATCAGCAGTTTCACCTATTAAGATCTGATCGCTGAAATAAAGCTAAGATTAGTCAATTAAAAACTCACCATTATCACTAATGTTCAACCTGCTGACACATTTCAGGTGGGCTATATTGTCTGCAATTGCTTTCGCTCCAGAACCTCTGAGCTGCAAATAAATTGAAATCGGCATCATAATATTTACATCACTGTTAAAAGAAATAGAGCATTGAATGTAATCCGGGATTTTATTAGTTTTACGTCACTGATCTCTGTGATTGGTCTAGAAATTTCGCGCTACCTCTTCAACCAATAAAATGCAAAGCTAGAGGCAATAACGACTTTGTAATTCACGTCTTCCCGCGCTTTTGAGACGACGCAGTTTACGCGTGTTTACACTGAGCTCTCATTGGCTTCTAGAGACATGTTCTCCTCTTCTGATTAGCCGTTGCCATTACGTTGATTTTGGTTGTATAACTCTGCATCGAAAAGCACTCTTTTGAATATTTTTCAAGTGACGAAAATGTCTTTTGTCACTTTTTTTTGTGTCAGTATTATTAGTGATGTATGTTGGGTAAAATGTCAAAATTTCTTGCATAAATTTTTCACCCCTTAAGTGGATGACTAAAAAGACAAAAATTGCCGTAACTAGGAAAAACAGTAAACACAAAAAGCCAAAATTTCAACCTCACACTGTTATAAAACCACAGCCATGATTTGCTGAACATACCTCATTGTTGCTTAGGTTAAGCTCAACTTCACAAAGTACTCCGTTTTCACGAAGTCCTTCAAGAATTGCTCTACAAAAAATAAGGAATGAGGTTGAAATAACGTATTAAGCGAATTTCCTTAAACATTTTGTAATCCTTTCTATATCCACAATCTAACCATCTCTCGTTGCGCATTTTTAAACCCAAATTAATTCATTAATCTAAACATAATTAAGTTAATATAGTTTGGCAGCATACACACGTACCCAATGATTCTAAATCTATCCTTTTCAAATCAAATTGAAATGAGGATATTGGTGTTTAGGGAAGTACTTAATTCCCCTGTCATCAATTAGCACTAACCTGATGGCGTCAGTATGTAACTTACAGTCTGACACATCCAAAAATTTCAGAGCCTGGGTGGTGCTAAAATACTGTAAAGAAAGTAACCATCAACAATAAATTATGTGAGTCAGTTCCCATGAAAATATTCTTTGATGTCACAAAAAAGAAGAAAACATCGGCACATTTCTCAGAGGACACTAGATTTACAGATGCAGTAGTTTTAAAAAGGAGCAAAAAAGTCTTCTTTCTCTGAACTTTTTTTTTTACCTCTTTACCTCTTTCCCTACATGAAACAGTGATCTTACCTGTTTGAATGAAGGTGGAACATCGACATCTTTAGTTTTCCTGCGCAAAATTAACAAAAAAAATTGGTTAGCAACAACATGGTAAAATTGAGTAGAATCATACGGATACCACTACGAAAGTTAAAATTCAAAGTTAAATTTCCAAAATTATACAATTCCAATTGTGTTTAAATCTCTCAGATAGTGTGACCGACATTGCTGTTGATGCGGCATCTTTTCATACTTACACATGTATACGCTTACACTGTATATTTGCTTACTTTGAGGTAAAACTGTTACCGGCCAGATTGATGGTTGCCAAGTGTTGAATGCAGCCTCGGATGAGAGCACCAAATAACTGGAAGAGATACAAATTTCATCATAAGGAAACACTGTAATATTAATACAACCAAAACAGATTGGGTGATGACCTGTGATTGTGAAAATGAATGTGAAAAATAAAAAACACAATTGGAGCAATAATTACATATAAATAAAGTTAATAGGTTAAATTACATTCATAAGATAGGCAATTAAAGGACAGAATACTGATTACAAGGTAAAATTGAAGAACAGTTCCCTAAAATATCAGTCGGCCGACTGTTGGCGAACGAAACACAGAAAACACAACGAAAACAAACTCAGAAATGAGTAAACAGACTGTCATCTTGGAAAGTTTGAACTTTCACAATTACCTCAAAATGAATTTTGACAAACATCACGCGATAGAGGTAAATTTCGAGTGCGAGGCATTATTGGCCATATCTATCGTCATTTATGTGAACTTGATGTGTAGTATCTGACTGACACATTTCGTTCCCATGAAATTGGAAGAGTTTGGTTACTTAGATTTAGCAATACGAGTAAATTTTTTCAAAGACTCACAAAATTGCACTAGCTCGTGTTTCGGTTGTGTTTTGTTGGCCGACAGATATTTTGGGGAGCTGTTTTTCAAATTTACCGATTTACCAAAAATTTACCAATTTACCAAAAATGTTAAAATAACAAAATAATAATTTATTTTTACCAGGTCAAGAGGACATTCAGTATATGAGAGATCCAACTGGGTCAGCATATTTGGCTTGGCTAAGAAATCACACAGACCCTGCAAAGGAGGAAAAAGCTGTTTCAGGTAAGAATTCATTAGAAAACCTGTTCCTTTCACGAAATGCATTTAATTGCCTGTGCGCAGATGTCTACTATTTCCTTTGAAGCATGCAAAAAGGCAATGCATAATAATAATAATAATAATAATAATCTAATAATAATAATAATAATAATAATAATGACAGTCTTTATATGACAGTCTTTATACAGGGGGTTCACATCACTGGAGAGTGGTATTCTGTGAGGTTCTGTAATTTAATGGCAGAATCAGATAACATATGCAGTATTCTCCAGAGGTTTTCTAGTATCCAGCTGTAAAACAAACAACAGCCAACAAAGGTTAAATTTTATTTCAGATCAAAGAGAGGTCTTCCATTTCTTCAAGTTGTCTAATTCTAGAGGACCTGCATGAGAAACATTAGGACCAACTGGTGAAAATCCCGGCCATAAGGGCTTCTAAAGAACACTGGATGTGGAAATCACTATCACAGAGAATCAAACAACTACATGGAATCTATTAATACCCCAGGAAAGAAACTTACAGCAACTCCATCTCCTTTGAGAGGATTTTTGCTCAGATCTAGTCTAAATGACCAAAGAAAAAAATACACAAACAAACAAAATTAATTAGTAATAGTAATTCAGTATACAAGACTGACTCGTATCACTGCTAGGAAAGGAGGCATTGAAAATTTCAATTGGAATTCCATTTCAGGCCGCCAATCTCTCCCAGACAAAAAATATTACAAATAATAATGTCCTTACAGACAGTGGAGGCACATGTAGCCAACAAGTTTCTGCCACAAACTACTTCGTGTGAGATCTGTTTTATTGTTACAATTATCACAAAGTAAAGTCAGTTTCTTGAGGATTTTTATCAAAAACTTGTGGCACTTGACATATCAAAGAGTTTTTTTAAGCCTTGATCTTTTCACCCTTTACTTTAAAAGTTCTGCAACTTACAAATAAACTGATGAAAAAGAACAACTAAGGGGAGCAGGGGCAGGGATGGCGCAGTGGTGATGGAGTGCTCGCCTCCCACCACTGTGGCCTAGGTTTGATTCCCAGACCTGGCATCACAGTTGTGGGCTGAGTTTGTTGTTGTTTCTTGTCCTAGCTCTGAGGGTTTTTCTCCTGGTCCTCCAGTTTCCTCCCTCCCCAAAAACCAACATTCCAAATTCCAATTCAATCTGGAGTCAAGTGTCATGAGCCACCCACTTAGAAGATTGGGCAACCACTTCCTAAATTATTGACTTTAAATAAATCATTATTTATTTTATTAACTAACTTCAGTTAAAAACAAAATTTTGTTCACCTGTTAAAGTACATGTTTCATACCTTTGCAAAGAGCTTTCATTATATTTGCTTGTTTTTAAGGCCTGACCCAGAGAAGAAGCCCCTGAAAATATAAAAGAACAAAACCAGTCAATTAAAGATGTTTTCCTTTTTGCAGAATTGGCAAGCAACCCTGGCAAATCAGATTGAGAGGGAGAGGGAAGCTAACATGAAATAGCCGGCACTTGGACTGCCTATAAAGTGCAAGGTGATGTTGAAAGGAGCTTTTAACCCAACACAATCTTCAAATAATGCGAGTATGAATAGTTTTGCTAACTTAATTGTATAGTATCATGCTATCTTGTGAATCTCTGAGTAAGGTTCCTAATAAAAGATTAAAACCAAAGTTTCTACACTACACAGCCATGCCTTGCAAAAAATTCAGATATATACCTTTTGATGTGATTCCATTGTCAGCAAGAGAAAGAAAGACCAAACCATGAGGAAGTTTACTGAAAGCACCGGCTAGGTGTGTTAAACCTTTAAAAGGAAAGAGAACCACATAATAAACAATCAGTTAGCGAATTCTTAAATACTGTGTAATCAGTGAGCAAATGTCTACATATTACAATTTGAAGGGGGCGTTAACATGCACTAGCCTGTATATGGGAAAATTTGCTTTGGCACATTAGTTCCAAACCCAAGTGCACTTGATTTCAAATTTTAATTACAACTTCCTATTTTTCTCCCTGTCTCTTCCTCTGTCCGACAATGATATAATACATTGACTAAAATTGCATGTGCCTACCCCATTCAGTCCACCAAGAAGTTGCATGAGAGGAAAGAAACTGTGCACACTGTGAGTACCCCCCATTGTCCCTCATAATTAAATCCTTAGAAACCTTTTCTCGAAAACCCTTCACCACATGATATTTTCTGGTCTTGATCGCAACAATGGTTTAATATGTCACTTTCTCATGAGCATATACAAATACAGAGCTTTGAGAGGGAGCCAGGGAGAACTCATGTTGGTCTAAATGTCACCCCTATATCATGAAGACAACCCTTAATTAACAGAGTCGCATCAACTGATGTAGGAGATGCCTTTGCTTTTTATTTTTAAAGGAAGAAGCAACCACATGTCATGTATTGATTACATGATCACCATGCATGCAAACACTTAAAAACCAACCTCTATCCTCAATGGAGTTCATATTTAAACTCAGGGAGTGCAAAGCTGTTTTGGGATTTGAAGTGAGAGCCATTGCAAGTTTCTGACAATAATCCCTAAAAGGGCACAAATCATAGAATGGTTTGTTATTAAGCAGGCAGAACAAAACATAGGAATGGCAACCACCACATCAACAGTCTCACATACAATTACAAGTCATGCGTTTTTCTACATTTAAATACAAGACTGATCATCTGGAATTACCTACCGAGGTTAATTTGTCTCTTTTCTTGCCTTTAGTCTGGCCTACATCTACTGTTAAACACTGCTCTGGTCTCCAGTTTTGTTTCTGGTTAATTTTAGTCTAGCCTAGTCTAGTGTAGTCTGGTTATGCTTTTCTCTAATTCTAACATTCACTTCTGGTTGTTCATAATGAGGTCTAATCCTCCTCTAGTTTAGTATAATCAAGCAACTGCTCTAATCATTATTCTTGGCTGCATGGTTTCTCATCTAGGCTTTTCTCTAGTCCATATAATTTATAGTCTAGTCTGTATATTCACAATTCTAGTCCTGTCTTCAGTCTTATCTAATATGTCTAGTTTATCACCTGTTTTGCTCCCTAACATAAATGTATTCTGACATCTGGCCTAGTTTAGCTGCTGGTCTACCTGACTTTGCATAGACCCTATAGCATCAAGAAGCCGAGTAAGTATCATTCCCAGTTACATTATTACCAGGTTGAATCAAGTCATCTGGAACCCATGACAGCTGTAGCCCACACGATACATACAGAGAACAAAGAACTGTCTATACTGCCCTTACGTAAAACATACATTGTAAAGAAAAGATGTCACCATTATCAATAGATTACATTTCAATTTAACAACAATGAGATTATGACATCTCAAAATCATTTTACATCCATGTTCAATCTAGTGTGTACCTGCCAAAACCAGCACTATCAAGTACTAGTTCTTCTACTGTTGTGGACTTCCTCACAGCTCTGATAATGGCATCGCAGACTTCTGATCCCTATTGAAAGGAAAAGTTATCAAAAATGTACTAAACAAGATTAAAGTTAAAAAAGCCATTTACCACTCTTTTCAGACAAGAAAACATAATGGCCTCATGACAAGACTGAGTTCTCTCTTCTTTCCCTTTAAGTATCAATTCCAGATATATACGGGTATATATAAAAACATACCAGTTTATATGAGTCACATGTCACTTTAGTGAACCAATCGTTGTACTCAAGAGTTGAAATAAAAGGAACCAAATCCCTGAAAGATTGAAGAAAAGCTGTAAAACTTTAGAAAATTATTATGAAAGAAACATTACTGCACAATGGAATTTACAACAAATGCTGGTGCCAGTGCAATAGATAATTCTTTTCACTAACTAGAATCACAGAGTTACATGTAGAGACCCATAACAGAAACTCAATGAAAACCCAAGGAGTCATTAAGTTTTATGCAACCACTACATTACAGATTACACTGCCCTTAACTGCCTCCCGGTTAGCTCAATGGATAGAGTGCTGGACTGTTGTGCGGGAGGTCGGGGTTCGAGCCCCGGATGGACCAACACTCAAGGTCTTAAAATAATTGAGAAGAATATGCTGCCTTTCTATAATATCAAGAAATGGCTAGATATCCTAGTCTTCTCAGATAGGGATGAATAAATGGAGGTCCTGTCTCCTGCAGGGTTAGGGGTAGGGGACGTTAATATCCCATGCACGAGATTACTGTGTGATGGATGTCCTCCCCTGGGGTGGAATGGGTGGGTTACTGGGCCCGCAGTGATTGGCACAAAAGCTGTTGCGGTGTCCCTGCCTGTCGGCAAATCTTGTAAATAAATAATTCAATCAACAAAATGAACTTGAAAATTTAAGAGTTACATGACATATCTATGATGGTCATATGAAAAAAAACATTGAAAATTCTGACTGTTTACTTTGTGTTACCAACCAGTAGAAGCATCATGAAATCTGTAGCCAGCATTTTGCCATTTGCACAGGACTTGAACAAATATGTTCTACAAACCATGCTACAAAATAACTGACTTACTTGTGCTCAAGATGGTCAAAGTCTTGAATGTTCAACTCTTTGGTATTGAGTGATAAGTAAATTGTGTCAATATCCTACAGATACAGCAAGAAAACATAAATTAAAAGCTTTAAAACTTGATCAAAATGAGCGACTGTTACATTGCACTTCTCAAAATGACCATGCAATGCCTTACTGTTCATACCTCAAAAATGTACAAATTCCATATTCATTTGCAAACTTTTATTCACTGTAAGTACATACCCAAACAACTTCATCCAGATGTGGGTGTCCATAGAAATCACACATTGACACATACACTTTAGAAAATCCACCTGAAGGGACATTCAGAAAATGTAGAGTAGGTACATGTAGATTATGCATAATTATTATATAACAAAAATATATAACAATAAAAGATAAACAAAAATAACTAAAATCATAATTATATAAATAAATATAAATAACAAAAATTCTAGAATTAATTAATTAATAGTAAAAATAACAGTAATAATAACATCATTGTATCCCTTGATACAAGGGTGTGCACATGACCTTTGGTTAAGGCAGTATATTGATGCTTTGTCTGATGTCTTATGAAATAAATAGTTACCAATACACAATAATTTGGTTCTATCAACTAAGTTGAAATTGTAAATTGGCCACCATAAAAAGTTAAAAAGCTGACATTTCAAGCATTAGCCCTTCATCAGAATGAAGGGCTAATGCTCAAAATGTCAGCTTTTTAACTCTTTATGGTGGCCAATTTACAATTTCAACTTAGTTGATAGAACCAAATTACCTTGTTACCCCCACTAACACAGCACCACAGTCTCTTTAGAAACTAATATCCCCTCTACCAATACACAGACTGTTAGTAATAGTTACAGTAAACTTTTGACTTCATCTCTTCAATTCCTTTTACATCCAGTGAACATTATGAGGAATTCATTCAAATAGAGTTCATTATAGCTCACCACAAGGTCCAATCTCCACATCTCCTCCTGTATTCCGCAAGTTGTTGGCCAGTGTGGTCACCTGTTCTTGCCTCATGTCACTCTCTTCTGGCGGTCCATACACCACCCTTAGAGAACGGCTGTAAGTAAAGTACAACATTCATACCTGCCAAAAATCTTGATAGAGGTTTTGCACAGCAGCCACATTGGATGGCAGGAACAATCAAAATAATTTGCATAAGAAAGAAAAAAATTTCGCATGGGTAAAATAATCTATTGTTCCCGCCATCCAACATGGCTGCGGCACAAAACCTCTACAGAGCCATTTACAGATAACATTTATTAAGATCAAGAGAATAAATGAGGTGATTACCAAGCTAAGAAGCTTTGTTGTTAAACCTTGAACTCCCAAAAGTGACTAACATGTAACTTCTCCCCATAATATCCATACATGATCCAGCAAAGAGGTAGTGAGAATACTCAAACCTATCAGGTAGAAGTTGTTACCTTGATTGAACACCAAATTCTCATAACCAGTTTACAAAGAAATGTGTTGCAGCTTGAGGGGAGAATTAACAATCAGGTCTTTGGAGTTTAAGGGTTTAATAAATTTTCCTTGTCAGTAACAAAGAAAGTGTAGAGAGAACAATATGGAGAATTTATTACTTGATACTTGCTGGGTATTGAGGGTTAAAATTAATGTATCTTATACTTACTCTGGGTTACCCGACGGAAAGTTTGATTTAAGAGCAACCAAGATGTGAGCAATGATCTCTGTGCAATCTTTGGGTTGAAAAAGTCTGAAATAATGTGGCTTGTCCCCGCATAACATTGTTAACTGAAATAATACGATCAAATGTTTCACTGTATCTACATCAAAATATCACACATGGGTATTAACTGGAAACAGCACTTAGTTAAAAATCAAAAGTATCTATTAATTCATAATTAATTTTTTAAGTTGCATTTAAAAAGTATGAATTCAAATAATTTTTTTATTTCTTTATTTTCAAAGATTAGACCAGATGTCACACTAATATTACAATTATAATGAAACAGACCGAATCTTACAATTACTAGAGGGTGTTGCTTGAAGTTCAGCTAAAACTGAATCACTCATCAATTGGTGAAATAAATTTGAATTAACTAAAAAATCTAGCGTAGTCTGCAACTGCCTGTCTGAAAACGACTTACCAAGAGAGGTTTACTACTTTCAATTTTCTGTATTTCCAAAACATGCATACTAAAATCCACCTACAAAGATAGAAAAGGAAAGTAGCTGTAAGGTGTCTTTCAAGTTCATTTTTGGTTCAAAGATCTGCAATGAAATAGGTATTTGATTAAAGCACATCAAAGTACTTTACTATCTCTAATTATAAAGAAAATAAATATAATTTGACGTAACACAATAACTGAATGATTCTCTCACTACATAACAATTCAATTTTTTTGCAATTATCAAAAAGTCACTTAAGCATTCAGTAACTCTGAGAGACCAGTCAAAATTGATTTGGTCATGGTCATGGGTTCAAATCCCACACTGGCCTGAATTTTTTTCAGGCCTTAATTATTTCCACTACTACCCCATAATAAGTAGGCTTTAATATTATTGCAAGAATCACTTTCATACATTTCATCAAACCACAGTACATATAATGTATTTTCACATATTCAAATTCAATCAAAATTGATTTGGTAGGTCAACATATTGCTGTATCTTTTTGCTAGTCTGTATGAGAGGAAATAAATAATGGTAATTGAATTGAGTGGAGTGCAATTTGGGCTGAAATCATACGCGTGATTTGAAATCAGAAGTATGATTTCAGACCAAAATTGCATGACACGAGGTTCAATTACCACTTTATTCCATCCATTTTGAAATCGCCCAAATACAGGACTTGGTCAATTCAAATATTTTATTGATGCAGTACTGAGCCAGTTTTTAAATAAAAAGCAGAACCGGAAACGCTTTTACATCTTATTTTGTATGCAAAACAGAAAGACCGACGTCATGTGTCAAAAACTCAGTCAAGCGTAAAATGATGTAATTTTAGAGCAAAAAATGGATGAGATTTGTGAATAAATCGCACCAATTAGAGCCAATCAGATTACAGGGACCACCAGTGATTTCAAAATGGATGTAATAAATACCAGTACTACCTTGAGTCATTACATGCATTGCAGAAAGGAATTAAAGATCGAGAAAAATCATTCTACACTGATGACTCTTTTTTTTCTCCCATAGTTACAAGTAAATATGAATATTAAAAATTTGATTCATCCTGGCTACTAGTTTAATATTTGCACGTACACTGTACATGTCCATATTATTCATAATAACAATTATTATAATTATAGTACCTTGCAGCCATTCTTGGTGCTGGTAAGGACATAGAACCGATGTACTGAGAGAGCCTGAAAATAAATAAGAACTGTTTTTATAATAACAACAATACCTCAAGTTATCATTTTCATGCAAACAAAAGAAACATCATTAAAAGCAGCCCACATGGGAAATATGAAGTGAATCCTGAGTTCTGATTGGCTACCCAAGCAGGCAAGATGGGCCCATCTTGCCAGTTCAGGATTGTCTGCTATGATCCCATGCAAGAATAATATCGTGTGGAGGGAACTTACAAAGTTCATAATTTTCAAGCAGTCATAACAAAGAAAACATAAATGACTCTAATGGGTTTATGGTGCTAGAAACACAACTGGCTTTCTTTCCCAGCTCTTGAAATAAACAGCTTAAATTCTTTTTTTATTCCTATTACAGCAAAAATCTTTATGCCATATAATAAATCATTCAGTGACTTAGCTTGTATGGTCAAGACAGCTGGATATTATCCTTGCTCTTTTTTGCATGTTCACGGACCTTCAACTTTGTCTCTGTCCATAAAAATGCAAAACAAGAACTTGGCCAATATCCAGCAATCTTGACCTCATGGTTGGTCAATAACACTATATACATCAAATTTACATCTTCTGAATTGTATCTAAACACAAGTATGTGCAAACCAAACTATTTCCTCTATATAGATTTACAATCCAGCGGCCTCATGAGACATGCAACTGAAAAGAAAGGAATACAGCAAAACTAATTTCTGCTCCAATGAAAATTTCCCAGCCATGCTATGGCAGAACCCAACAGCTTGACAAATAAGTTGCCTTGTTAACTTTTCCTTTTGTTCCCTCCCAAGGAGCTGATTATGATCAATATCAGCTTAAAAAATGAATTGCATACATTAGCCAATGCAAAGGAATGAGCAGCTGAATATACAGTGTACATGCACTATACTTGCCCACTAGGGGTGTCTTTTTGTCACTTTTAGTGTATGTAATAAAGTAAAAGCTGATAAAAGCAGAGGCCCTCAGGAAGAATAGCAGCACAGACTCAGGAATTGAAGTTCTGACACATTGAATCCGTAACTGAATTGTTGATTCACTACAAGATCAAATCTGATAAAAAAAATTGCAGTTGAAGCAATAGCCACCTCTTTACAACAGTCACTTCTCTCTTATATTTTGCCTTTTTTGATTCATTCTAGATGAAAAACTACAAATCATATGAACATTACAAGAAAATTTGCTTTAACCTCCTCAGGACTGCATGCCCTTCACAACAGAAATGGATAACAATTAAGGTACATTCTAACTACCAAAATACCCTCTACTATATCGCCAATGTATCTACAACTTACACACAGTATTGAAGAGAATTGGTGCAAACACATCAGGGCAGACATAAACCCTTGAAAACTGAAACTTCCCATAAAGAAAAGAAAATTTATCTGCCTTTGCAAGCAAATGTTCAACAAACTGATACACTCAACAAACTGATATACTCTGTCACTCTTAATTATTTTACTTTGTTCACATTTTACCTCTAAAAATCAAATTATGGTGGTTTTTGATTAACATATTTTTTAAGCATCATACACTGCTACAAAATCATTGGCATTTGTGCCAAATAAAAATTAATGTTCTAGACTCTTCAACAGGTGTCATATCAAACCCATTCTTCCCTGTAACAGGCAATGTTCTCATTGCAACGTGGTTTGAATGTGCACAGACTGTATGTATATGAGTAGTTAATCTGACTAAGCCATGTAAAAATTCCAGCTTCACACCCCTTGTCTAATCAAGGAAATCAAGACTCATAAGTACCAAAATCAAGTGTTTTTGACAATGAAACTGAATTATTTAACAGAAAATTACAGCTCAAAAGTAAGTTGACAGTCCCAAACCAAAAATCAATTCTTGATCCTCAAAACTATCACCAATTTAAGGCTCAAGGACAGAGAATTTATTAACATTGAAAATATAAGTACATGCATACTGCACTATCATCCTTGTAAGAAAAATTGACAAGTAAATGAGCTAACAACAGCAATACTACCAAAAGTACCATGCTCCATTAAAGTACGAAGAACAAAGAGGATCAAGTGTAACAAGTACAAACAGACTTCACTGCCATTAAAAATTAAATCAGATATTGGAAGAAAGGTTGAAGATATCGTTATAGAAAATCATCCCATTTTAAAGAGAAATAAGATACAGTTTCCCCTAAAATGATAGTATCGCACCCCCAATTCCTTGTGTGACATTTAAACTTCAAGAATGATTTTTCTCTACATGTATGAATCTTTTGATAAACCAATAGAAGCTATTACTACCATTTATAAGTTTTGAAGTAGACAGAGGATAATCTAGAGTTTGATGTCAGGCCCAAAATTTTTTTGTATAAGAAACAAATTGAAACTAACACATTTAAGATTAATATCAGACTTGCGATTCCCATTACCTATATTTTTTTAAGCACTTAAAAACAAATGTATAACAACAAAAGATTATGAAACAAATTTTATACACTGGTATGCTGTTGTTATTATCCACTGTAACATTTTGGCTGACACTCATGATTTGAAAAACTGTTCCTGAATAAATCTTTTATTTCAGAGACTACTAGTCATTTGAAAAGGTTGTCAGTCTCATTCAACCAGTAGAGTTCTCTTTTTCTTATTCCTTTTCAAAAGAATTATTAGTCCAACAAAATTAAGATTACCCAAGAGATTTTGTTGCACAATAAAATTTGTACACAAACATAAGCCAAAGTGAGAGGATCACACTTAAAAAGTTCTAACTTTTGAAATAAAAAAAAAAAAATTGGGGGCAAAGGTAATGGCTTGCAAATACTTTGGCATCTGGGCCAGGGCATAATAGTTGGCAAGTCCCTTGCACAGGCTTGCTCAATTCACACACACATCATTTTCTCTTTCAATTCCAAACACATGGTTTCTGCTAGACGAGGTTATTATCCATTTGCAGTTCTGTGAGAAATCTCACTTATTTCAAAGAACTCATGTAAATGTTATTTATTTCTGTGTCACACAATTAGAAGGAGAGAAAGACCTATATCATCCAAAAATGAAAGACCCAGAGACACTCAATATCACTGCAGCAAGTTCACATAATTGTTTATATCGGCGAGATCAAACTTAAAACCTTTAGCTATATTTCGTTTATTTTGAAAGAACTGCTTTAAACTTACAAAGCTCTACATGCTGAAGTAGATACAAATATTGTACATGAAATGTGTACCGTTTCAGTTCACACCTAACATAATCATTGTCTGTAAATATAATTTGTTGATTGTCCATCAAATCAAATAAAGTGAAGACGTACAATATTTTGTCAAAACAATCCATACGTAGCAATCGAAACTAAAAATATATCGAAAGGTCATTTACTAAATTAAATAACTGAATAGTTGAATTTCGTGGAATATTCCGCTCAAAGGAATTTGTCTGCCCCAAGTTGGATACATTGGACTCCACACAAACGAAACCAACCACTCATGATATTGTTAGGTTTACAATCACAAGATTACAGCCGATGATCTGCTCTAATGCCAAGTAACTATAAGGAGAAAAATTTCGAAAAGCCAAAAACCGAAAGCTGGAGTAAAGCTCTCGATAAAATCAACAAGATATTATCAGCTTTCCTGTTGCCTGTGACAAGCAAAAAGAAAGTTTACAGATCGCTGAGCAATCCCACGGTGATCGCTTGTGATGAGAACAATTGCAAGTGCTGGAATGTTTTGACTGAACAAATTGGCCGGACTAAAGGTCCATAACACAATCACTGGAACAAAATTATAATTCAAAACCATAAAATCTACCACGAACACATAACAATGGTTACAAAACAGACACGAATATCTCTAGTTAGGAAATGAATCCACTCATGTAAAGAAACCGTACCCTCTCGCCAGTGTCTATACGAAACATCGTGATTGTTTGACAAATACTCACCAAAATTCTAGCCTCTGAGCGGTCCCCCCTGAACTCAATGTTCCCTTTCTTGATGAAGGCTAATTCTATGTTCCTCCTGATAGCCAACTGTACATTTTCTGCGGACATGATCGCATAAACGCATCCAAATTTAGCTCTCAGTGAACAAACTGATATAGAAGCATCCAATCTTGACGGAAGTTGTCGCGGCATGAAAGAAAAATTTTGCATTATAAATATCACTGGTACCTAAAACACCGGGCTCTATTTCTGCGGAATCATCCCCCATGACTTTTTTCGACCAAATGCGCTGTGAAATTCAGCGTCCAACGCTGTCAAGGTAAATCTAAACACGGAGCAAAAATCTGAACCCTGTTGTCACACATTCATGTCTCCTTCCTGTTCAAGCATAGGCTGGGAGTGTGATTACCATATTAGGCGTGTCACTCCTTGACTCCCTAGGGTGGGGTAAGGGGCTGGTACAACACCAAACCTGTTCAAAATTTTCCACCTTGGAGGTGGGTCGCTTCGAAAATTTATCGTAGTATTTTTGTGTGGATTAGTTATTTTTTTTTCTGACACGAACAAATTTTTACGGCTCGAAATGACCACGATTTGTAAGAGGAACTTTTTCTCTGTTTGAGCAACGGATCATTAACATCGAAACATGATATTTTAACTTCATTTGGCGTGTCAGTGAAGTTTCACTGAATTTTACGATGGCAAAACCGAACTGTCCGAAACTACATAAAATAACATGATCAACATAGCTTTATATTTATTCAAGATGAGGAAAATAAGATAACAGAACAGCATGACCGACGCATCAAGAAAGAAGAAACAAAATTGCTTTCCCTTTTCTTCACATACTCCTTGCATAATTATTTTCTCGGACTGAAGGAAGTAAAATTTTCCAAAGGCTCACTTCAATAGATTCTGAAAGAAGTTGTTGTGAACATGCAGTGTAAATTTCCATTAACCCTATAATTTGCATAATTTCCTTATCAGCTAAGGAATTTATTTGAAATCCAATTAAATCGCGTTTGCACCACTGTCAAATCGTTTTATCAATTCACTAGTTGAAATCTCTTATTCACTCCATCTGTTGAAGATGTTTACGAATCAGAAGTACCCCAAATTCACAGAAGCTAAAGCTAGTTATGGAAGAGTAGCTTACTTCCTCGTTTTTTTCAGGAATCAAAGTTCTACTGGACCAATAGTATTGAATCAGTTAAAGTCTAGACGAATTAATTAACTTGAATAAATTATGTTTTTTACTTAACAGAACAATGCACAAAGACAAAAAGATGTGAAAAAAAAATTCAGAAATATCTCTACAGCAATCAAACAAGTTTCAGTACAGTTCAAACTAATACAAAACCCTGATACCAAAGGGAATGATCTTCAAGCTGCAAGTACTCAAACATTGCAGCACATCAAATAAACAACCTGTTTCTCAGCCTAAGGCTCCAAAATTTAGTTAATTGCCTCTATTTATACCTCACATCTATTTTTAAAAAAATTGCTTAATTAATACCACTGTTTCTTGAAATTGACACTTCCTAGTGATAAAAAGATCCACTAACAATCAGTGTTTTCTTAACAGGAAAATACAAGATAAAAATACACTATAATATTGAATAAGGTAGGCATTGTGGCACATTTTGCAGGCTAAAGAAGAGATATGGCCAGGCTAGCTTTAGCCCATTCACCTGCTAGTGTGATTGTTCAAACTTTTTTGTTGCCACCATATTCAGTTTTTACTTTCTCTGTCTTCTCAAAGTGACAACAGTAATACAGTTTATGTTCCTTGGCATAAATATGTTATGCGCCCTTCTCAGAGTCACTGAAACCCTCACCTTCTGTTGGTCTGGCCCAAACATGTTTATGCCTGCAAACATAACCTCTTTTGTCTGTAAGTGTGACTAAAAATGGATTTATAACTCAATTGAAGATTCATCACATCACAAACAGAATTAACAACTTAATTTTGCATAGTAATTATATCAACAGATGACCCAAGTTAAAAAGTTTTTTTAATTTTCATATTAATTAATAAATAGCCCAGATCATTTTGTTACAAAGTATATAATCATTTACACAGAATTAAATAGATGCATGTTTAATGAAATTAATCTCCATTAACACTATTGTAAATAATTTTTAGGACCAAATTAAGACCAGTTCCTCATTGTTTGCTCTCTTAATCATCATTAGAGTTGAGAAGTAACATCAGATAGCAAATAATTGCTATGGACATTTTCTTGTATCCCGCAATTTGTTTTTTGGCACACTATGTAATCACTCAGACCTGAAGGAAACAGAGAAAGAACAACTAATTTTGCCATTTGGAGACAGCTCTAAGTATTCAATTATTTTAGAAGAAATTCAATCTTGCAATGATTACAAAAAATTAGCTTGTTTTAGGCTTTTGATTTTTAGCGACCATTAGAAAATTGGCAAAGCATAAAATAGAAGGTGTATATCATTTGCTAGTTCATCTATAATTCACTTTTCCTCTTGTCTCTAAGAGACCCTGGGTACAGAGAAATCAACAGTTGGCCCTTCTTGAACACCTACTTAAAATGAGGACATGGTCATATTATTTAATATTCAGTTTTAACTAATAAAACAGACAAAGATACTGCTAACATTGTACACAAATTGTGCAGAGTAAAGTAACTCTTATTCTTAGAATCATTAAGACATTAAATGAAACTCAAAAAAGTTACAACTTTGGTTGATCAAGGGTTAATTCTTTGGGTGAGACAATAATACCATCAAGATCTGAGTAAAGATAATGTCCGGGTGTAAAAGTCACTCCTCCAAATCGCACAGCAATATCTCTTTCTCCCAAACCTTTCTTGATGGATTTCAATGGCATTGTGCCTAATGCTTTCACGCCGACATTCATCATTGAAATCTCTTCAGAGTCTCGTATACAGCCATACATCACAACGCCAGCCCAATCGTTCTTTATTGCAAGTGAAGCGAGATTGTCACCAAGCATGCCACATCTTAATGACCCTCCAGCATCCACCACAAGGACCTGAACATAAAACAAAGATCAGTTAGTGATTACAAAAATGCAGAAATATTTGTGTAAACAGAACTCATGATGCTCAGAACAAGTTGTCATTCAAGAAAGGTTTTTTTCAACCTCCAGAAGTCTGAAGAGTTGCTAGCAGTTTGTCATTTCCTTAAAACAATTTAGCTCACTCAATATTTTAAGATAATAACCTGGCAAAAGTTTTTCCACTTTTATCAAACAAGTGCATGTGTAATCTGTGTTGTTATTTGCTGTGGAGAATTTGGAATGGACTTTATAAAGCAGCAAGTGATATTGATCAAATCAGAGATTAACAAAGGAGAAGGAATTTGTGCTTGATCTGATTTCCAGTTGTTTTACTTTCCCTTGTGAAACAGTTAAAAGGATTTTGTGTTTACAATAACACCAGAAAGGCTATGAGCTTGCTCAATAAATTATCTTGAGAAGTTACTCTTTTATAACATCTAAGAGGGCTAAAAAAAACCTCTTCAGTGTGCTTTAAAATAATTCTTCAGATGTAACCAGGAAAGATAAAAGTTGAAAGTTCTTTATTCTGCCAAAGTTCCGATTAATCTGAGTCTAGTATGATTCATAAACCCCTTCCACTCCTAAAATCTTATTAGCAATTCTCCTTACTGTCTGCCATTCAATTCTTATGATGTTAGTTTGGACATAGTTTTGGAGAATTTGGTGTTAGGTCAATCAATCTTTCTTTGATGTCATAGCTTGGTTATCTGATATTGCATTGATGTCTACTTGATATTGAATGGATGTTGTAGGGAGAAATTCTCTCTTGGTCCCTCCTGGGAGTTAACGGGTCCAAATAATTGACACAGAAAAAATTACATTGAACATATAGCACAAACAATTTTTTAAAGATTAGTTCATTAAAAACAAACACATAAACAAAAGAAAAGATAAAAATGCAAATAGATATTTGCAGGATACGTACAGGAAAATGCTCAGCAATATTACATGAAAAGTTGAGCGTCACCTTTGATCCACTAATATGCATATAAGAGCTAAAATCTTATTCAAAAAGAGAATCGCAATGTAAACACTCTCTAGATATGTATAGCTATGTTTCCACCTCATACTTGCTGCCGTTTTTGCGGGTTTCACTGACGATAACAGAGACCAGTTGAGAAGCTTACCCGCTTGTTCCCTGGCTCATTAAGTGCCCCCTTCACTAGCAAATTATCTTCATAGCATTTTAACGTCGAAATCATTCCTCCAAATTTCGCCTTGCCTCCATAATTCCGGAAGAGATTTGCCTCCACGTATTGCAGCGAGTCGCTGTAAGCGTCACTCAAATCAGCCACATTCATTGTGCTACTATTAAAGCAGAAAAATCGTTGCAAAGCGGAAAGAACGAGGAGATGGGAATGCTTCTGCGTGAATTCGTTCAACTGTGCCACGCGTCGAAGAAAAGCCATGGTGGATGGCGCGAAAGACTGGTAACTGCTTGATTAGACTCGCCCTCAGTCCCGCTCAGTCGTTGTATCCTTAGCTTCGAAGGCCTTGATCTACATTTACATTCATTCATTCATTCATTTGTTTAAGCAAGTTGATTAATTGGCAACTGTAACACAGGCAGCCCAAGCTTACTACTAGAAAAGCGGACGTGACTCTTACCGTGTTGCGCAACGTTTTATATTTATAAAGGTTTGTATGGGATGTTATC